TGGATGGATGGATGGATGGATGGATGGATGGATGGATGGATGGATGGATGGATGGATGGATGGATGGATGGATGACTAGATTTATGTTTAAATCAAAAGCTGAAACAGTTAGCTCCTGGAAGTAGCGTAGGACCACATTTCCTGCACAGACGACTGATAAAACAGAAAGGATTTAAATGCATTTATTTTCTCAGGAAATATTTCATTAAGATTTATGCATTATAGTTAAATACACTTACTACCTTTAGGGAGGGCAACAATGTAATTTAGGTATTTCTTACAAAGTAAAATGGAGGGAGATCCGGATGTATATCTGCTTGCACATGTGCAAAAAAACTGATGGTACGGATAGTGCTACTGGTGCGGATTGGGTAGTGACAGATTTCAGACTTGCTATCTGAGTTTCTTCTTCCTGAGGCCATTATTGCTAGCTCTGCCTATAAGGGAAAATATTTGTGTCAAACTGATGGAACGGATTTCAAAGGTGTCTAATTATTTTACGTTCTTTCCATTTTAGTGTGTCATACAGGGGAAAAAGATGAGCGAAATGTTCTCAATAATTATTCAAAACTATGCATTTTTCTTTTTTAAATATGCATTTTACACTATCTCTAAAATATCTACTTAAAACTAAAAATAAACCTTGGTAAATGTGGTTAGACTGGCTAAAATCTAACAGTTTCTATCAACCTTTTCATGAGCTAATACTTTTATGTTACAGCTTTCCCTATAAATAAATGAATAACAAGTCTTAAAGGCATTTTTTTTGTTCCTTTGTTTATTCTGACTATTGGTACGACAATAACAACGCAGAGCGCAACCCTTAAAAGACATTTCCACCATCTGGCTCTACTTTATCTGGCCATGTGATGTCTTTGTGCTTTGAAAGATGTGTACCTTTTTTTTTTCCCAGCAATGGGATCAACCTTTGCGAGGTAAAAGAAATCTCCGCTGAATGTGGCAGTTGTTCCCCACAAGATTGATGCCAACCTTTTAAAAATTCACCATTGGCCCGGATTTAACATGGCCAAATGCTGATGTAAATGAGGTGGAGAAAAGTCGACCCTTTCACTGCAAATAAATCTGAGTTGCAGGCTTCATCTCATAAATACCACAGCCTGTCACAATTCTTGTTTTATTGCTGTTGATGGAAATTATTGCGTTTATTTATCTCGTCCGCAGAGATAAAGCTTTGAAAGTCACAACTCAAGGTGTGGCGCACTCAGAACATGCAGATCTAGCTGGTGAATTACATTTTGTGTGTGCTTTAGTTTACCTCTTGCCCCCTTCTAACAGAAAGGAATAATATTTCCCCATAAATAGACAATTAACAGAACAAAATGCATGACTACTTTCATTATTTGAATTCAGATTCTGTTTATTTTTTATTTGAACTGTCCTCTAATAATAAACGATTTTAAATGAAATTTCTTAATTATCTTTGTTATAATTTCAGATAATTCAATAAACAGATACTGGAAATATTTTAACATCCAAAGCTTGTCATGTTAAGCAGCTCTTTCTCAAAGCTGAGATTTTTTTCCCCCCTGTTTGCTGCAGATTTATCGATCCGTGGGGGTGAGTCACAGGGCGTAATTCATGATAGCTTGATTGATGAGGATTTCAATCTTATATGGTTTGTTAACTTCAACTACCCACAAAGTGCATTCTGTGCTCTTTTCTGTAATACAAGGCCATGAAAAAGAAAAAAAAAGAAAAAACTTGTCTTCCCTTTGAATAATGGAATCTCTCAGTTCCTCAGAATTAACAAGATCCCGCTCCAAAGGTCTGTTCAAGCCCCTGGGCAGCCGAGGCACTGTTGAACTTCTACCATGTTTTCCCCGCTCTGAATTCACTTTAATCCAATGCTCTTTTTTGCTCCTAGACAGTTCAGAAAGTACTTGTGTTCAGAGGGAAATTAGATTTTTGAATACATTTATTTAAAAAGTCTGAGCTACATCTCTTGAAATAAGTCATTTGACAGGCAGTTTCTTTCTATTTTGTATTTTATTGAATTTCAGACGTTATTTAGTTTGTTTTATTGACTTCATGAATGCTCCTTTTTTTATCCCTTCCAGCAGGATTGCCACCAGCAGACAACATGAGCAGCAGAACGCTGGCATTTACACTATGACAGGTAGGTGATCACACTAATAGGTTATTTACATTTAGAGATTATATTTAGCAGTCTGTAAATTTACTAGTATTTCTGTTGTAATAGATCTGATGTTTTAAGCTCTCCTTCTCAGCTTTACTAATCAGTAGTAGATAACAATAATCTCTTACAGATTGTAGGATCTAACTTTATAATAGTAACCTTTAAGCATTCATCACACTTTCTCACGTTTCTAACTTGCTATTCATTAGTGGGAGTGATTAAACTTGAATTCAGTGCATCTCTTATTCAAAATGTTTTGCTACATTGAAAAAGCTGATCTAAAAATAAGCACACTTTTCTTAAAAATAAGTGTATTTATGCTTAATTTGAGCAGATAAATAGTAAGAATGAGGATTTTATCCCTTAAATAAGATGATTAGACATTATGCAGTTAAAATAATACAGTTGAACAGTTATTTTTTCTCTTATTTCAAATTAAATCAGCTTATTTTATTTGCAAATTGTCTTACTTAACTTCTCAAATCAACAAAAATACTCTTACTTCAAGAAAAAAATGTATTTATATTAAAATATTTGCAGTGTAATCTTCCTTATCACCTTACAGGCGGTTTACTGTCTGAGCATAAGTGTAAAGCAAGCCTTTCTCTATTTGATCTACATGTGTTTCGTAAGGAGTGTCTCAGAGATGGATACTGTACAGGGCTTTGCTTATCTCAGGGAACGTGACTTCCCAGAGGAGCTGGGCATTAACAGCTGTCACAGTTGATCCATCAAACACCAAACTTGCATGTGTACCTCTTGTGCACTGAATCCTCCTTTTGTCTCGCTGGAGGTGAAACTTCAGTCCTAACAAACAGCAATATGCCCCACCACTAAAACAGAAAAAGGTAAATTTGTTAGAAAATGGCACTTTGCTCTGACAGCCTCAGTGCCACAAAGCCAGAGTGGGCTGAGATGCTGGAGGCTTTAAGGCGTGCGTGAACTACACTGGCTGAATGTGGCTGGCAGGATTTTTTTTTTCTTATCTAGCTGGAGAGAGACACCATGTGGTGAGGATGCCTCCTGCTGCTCCAGCAGAGGCACGTGCTTTAAATGGCAAATGATACACCCAGCCTGATTAACGCAAGTGAGCTTTAAGCAGCTACTAGAATAAAATGAACTGAACTTTATATAAACGAAAAGGTGGATTTATTTCTCTGTAAAATAAAAAAGTAGGGATAGAGTTTCTATATGACTTCATTAAGGTTTGTAAGTTACGCTGGTACATAGTGCTAAGAAGAAGCAGACAGTACGTCTCTGCTGAACATTTTGTGACATTTGGTGTGAGCTTCATCCACTGGGACAGGGTCTGAGTGACAACGGAGAGCGTGCACTTACTCCACAGAGTGCTGCCAGCACTTATCATTTATCTGCGGAGAAACTGTCCTCTGCAGGTGCACAGACTCCCTCCTTCTCCTCCTAATGAACTAGAGCAGTTTTGGAGAAAACACAATAAGGGCGCTTCAAGCTTAGTTTTTTCTATTTTCTCTTTTAGACAGCATCACTTTGAATGTGAAAGAACACAACTTGCCTTCATTAACAATGTGATAGCCTGCAGACCAAGTGTGAGGTCGTAGCCGACAGCCTGTTTGTGTTAATTGTTAGCCCGTGTGAGCTGGTGTGTGTGTGTGTGCGCGTGTGTGTTGGAGTGGGGGGGCTGACAGCTGGCCAGGTTTGAGTTGGTCTAAAACCATGTGCGCTCTGTCAGGGTTGTACAGGCGCCTTCTTTAGGATTGATGAATTGCCTGCTTTCTTGATTAAACCCTCCGTCACTTCCCAACAAAACAAAATCCCAAACACACACAAAAAAGAAAGGATATAAAAAAAAACGAAAGACGAGTTGAGAGGAGAGGTAACATGTCTGGGAAATCTGTCATCTGCAGTCACATCATGTTCAGAGGTGATGTGCAGAAGCTTTGACATTTATTACCCGAATATTAAAAACTAATTCACATTTATTTTGAAGCCCTCCATCACTTGACAGTTCAGGCTCATTTGAAAAGTTATCAAGTGTTCATAGCGGCACATACCCCCCCCTCCATTCTCTTTCCCAACCTTTTTACTTTCCCTCACTGAAAACATTGCTTTGATCCATGCCAACTCGCTTAGCCAATTAGGTCTATTATTCAAGCATTGACAGTAAATCTCGATATTTTATCTAGATTGTTTGTGCATTGTTTATGCATTACAGAATTGTGTCTTAAATAAAAACAAAGAAAAAAAGATGCAAATGCATTAGTTGAAAAGTCTCATATTAAACTTCCTTATGCATGTTGGATTGCAGCCTGCTTTTATTACCAGCTTAGCAAATATATAGCATTCGGCAGTCGTCCACCTGATAAAAAGTTAAATCTAATAAAGAGAGATGCATCTGCATATCTATAGCATTAATCAAAAACAAACACTGACATTGCCCCTGATCTAACATAATATGGAGAACAATTATTTCCCTATCCATTAGAGGAACTTCAATTAACAGACACTAGACAGATCATCCTTCAGATGGGGGGAAAAAAATGGAGGCTCAAAATTAACTTGGGTTTGCAAAATATCTTGGCAGGATGACAGTGATTTTTGATTTTCAGGAAACAATATTGGAATTCTTATTAAACTATGTGCATCTGCTTTTAATTTGCTCCAAATAATTGGAAAATGCAATAGAGCTTTCCAATTAAAGCTCCACTTTATACTGTTTAATAATACCCTCATAATATTATAGCTTATGAAATGACAGGTGAGTTGGTGTATGAATAAAACATAAAGCCCTGTAATAAGAGACAGAAAAAAAATCCCAGAGACAGTTGTTGGGGGTTTTTTTAAATGCTCCACATAATTTGCATATATTAATCTCCTCTTTTCAGCCTTATCAAGTATTCCACTGTATTTGAAGTTAAAATAGTCATGACAGGCAGGGGTACGCTTCGTTTTTCCAAGGATTTATTACTTGTATAATTCTGGATCTTTAATAAGCCAATATGACTGATCCTCTGAGTTCTGTGGAATTTGGTTAATTGTTCCAGATGGTGCTCGCTGATTATGCAAAATTACTTTCTTTCTCCTCTTTTTTTTTCCTCTCCCCCCAAACTACACGATTTCTTGATTGACTAACATGAAGAAAAAAGATTATTTTTGGCGCCGCACTTTCATTAAGAGGCTTCTCATCAGGTTTCAAACAAAAGTTCCATCTTATCTCCCCCGTGTAGTTCTAGGCAAGACTGTGCAGAGGGAGGAGATCAGCCAGCTCTTATCTCCAACCATGATGAATCTCAACTGCTTCTGCACGGCTGGGGTTATATTTTAGAATAACACAATTCTTTAGGCTGAAGGATTAAAAAACATGACCTGAGGATAGTGACATAAAAGTTATTATCAACGTATGTCGTCCTTTCCTCACTCCCTTCTCCTTGTTTTCTGCGTGAGAGATTGATGAAATTACTAAGCAGTTTGTTCCGTCTCCTTTTTGCAGCTTCCACTCTGTCCATGACTTGCTAACATTCTGTTTTGCATCAGCTAAACTGAGCTGAATGAATCATTTATGGAAGTGTTACGGGGGAGGCTTGGGCAGATTTACTGCCATGCTTTTACTTAAGATGGAAAGGGATTTCTATGAAACTGATCTTGATGTTTGAAGCGATGCCAAAGCTTGCATCAAGACATGAAAGGAATGCTCTTAAAACCCATGTTTTGCTTCTTAATTTCCCTGGTCAGCAAAGGGGAAACTAGGGGGAAAGTGTAGGGGGAGCACAGTATTTACACCTAATGCATCCACATACACACATACTAAAACAACCTCCAGATAAGAAATAATATAGAGTGCAGAATTTCATTATAGTAAATCTAGGGCTAATAAATCAATGTGTTTAAATTTGCTGTAATTGTGAGTTTGAGCTTTATGTTTTTTTTTGTTTTTTTCATCATGACATAGCAGACTAGCTTCACTCATTTAGTAATGCTGCTGCTTAGCGTTTATAAAAACATGGAGCCAAAAACACACAGCAGCATCGGAAGTAAGTAATATGCTACTGTTCAGAGGAAGAATAACTTATTTATATTCATTTACAATTTTTGTGGCATGCAAAAATATATTATTTTCTCTTCAGTAATCAATTAAATCTTTATGGATTCCATTTCATAATAGCCGTTCATATTTGTTTCATCTTTTTTTTTTTTTGCTGCATGTTACAAGTAATATTTTAAATATTTATCTTTGGTTATTAAATCTAAGTCTTTGAGGATGGCCTCCTTGCTACCACCCTAATCTGTACCCAATCCAGACTTTCTTAGATTCATGTTGTGGCTCTGGCTCCATAACCTTTCTTTCAGGGAGAAGAGAGTTTTTTGATTTAAAAAAAGAGAAAAAAATACTTTCTAAATCTTGAAAAGTATGGATAATTGTTGGTTTAAATTCTATAATTTTATTCTAGATTTCTTTATCAGTTCTTTATTCGTTATTTTTCTTTTCTGTAACTGTTGAAATAGGTGAAAAATTTAGAGACCTGTTTTGGAAAGCAATCACACTCAAAAGCGGGTACCTATTCTTTAAAAAAAATGGCAAATGTGTCTGTAGAAATAGTTTTAAATGATTTTAGCAGGTACTATAAAGCTTTTGAAGTGTGTGAAGCAAGATTTTATTGATACATGGCAGCAAAAAGACTTTGTCATAATTTTTATGGAAGATAAAATGGAACAAGTTGACATGCATCAACTTTCTTTTCCCACAGTTCATTCAATGACTTCAGACAGTATTGTTGCATATTCAGAAAACCGAAAAAAGAAATTCAATAAGATGTGACGAGAGTCAATTGCGTTGAAATACAGCTCAAAATAATTGCTTTTATTCATCCCAAATGTCAGACTGGACTATCCAGGTTTGGCAGCCAAACATGATCACTCCCAGTGTGATGGCGCCATTACGTTTTTTTGAGGATCAATCCTGTCTAAATCCTAATGGATTTTTTGACTGGAGCCTTGAAGCCCCA